TTCTCGACGTATGTAACACTGCATAGTCATACCTTGCAGCATCTCATTGAACGTGACATACAGCTCAACCTCATAGTGCTCGAGCATTCACCATCACACGATCTATTGACAGCTGTGATCGATAGTTTTCATCTTTACTTGCCAGTGTATTCTGGCATGAACATCTTAGGCAGGATCACCACCGCACTCTATGCTGCTCACGTCGCGTGGAGGTCGGGAGGCACACAATTGCGGCCCCTTCTAGCTCTGCTGATGGAGGTGGACAATGGCCGACAACTAGATGCTGTTGCCCGAGAGCATGTCTCAGCCGATATATCCAGTTTCACTCATGTCAGTACATTCCCTTACTTGCGAAAGATACGCTTTATGCTGACCGTGTTTGTGTGCAGGCTCTTTATCCTGAGACGAGCAATCCAGACGAGGTGCCTGCCCGAATGGCTGCGATCCTACTCCTCGCCGACGATCCGAGTCCTAATGCACCGTCTATCCTTGCCAACAGTCTGTGGTACAAATATCGCACGGCTTTTGACTGGGCAGAAAAGGTTTGGGACAACGCAGTGGCGAGTCTTAGACAAGTCCCAGTCATGACGTCTGACCCCGCTGGTCGCAGGGCTTGCGCTTTGCGATACGGGCTTTTTCTGTATCACGTCGACCAGCACCTTCCCGGTGGTCTAGATGACCACGTCCTACGTTGGTTTGATGGTCCCGGAAAGAACGAGATCCGCACCCTCAACGCGGATGCGTGGGACGTGCTTAATGTCGTGCTGGTCTATCTTTGCGTACACGGCGCGCTCGCGACGACGACAATCTTGCACGGCTTGGTCTTTCCGACCTGGGAACTCGGTGCAGATGCGGCCGAAGCACAGCGGATTGAACTCATGGAGATCTCTTTGCGAGCGGCGAATGCTTTATTCGAGTGCCTGATGCTGCAGGAGGAAAGCAGATCCGATGGCATCCCGCCCACGGGCCTCTTAGATATCCGACGAATACGCTGCCGACGCCGCGATGTGTACCGCGAGCCCCATTTCTCCGCGCTCGCGAAGACTATCCCGGTTCTGGTGTTCATCGAAAACAACGAGCACATCGCCGAGGATCTTCGCCAGTCGGCGTCTAGAATCAAGTCTGCCATGTGCAGGAACGAAGATTTTCGCCAAGGAACCTACAGGAACCTCGACGCTGTCCGTATCGCCTTCGAGAAGCTACTGATGTCCCCGACGATGAGCGACAGTCTCTGCGAGCCGCTCATAGATGCACTACGGTTGATTCTCAGCGACCCTCATGGAAGTACGTCGTTACGCCTTTGGTCCTCTTTTACAGACAAGTACTGATAGTCATATTAAGCTCTCTCGGACTTCGGCCTGAGCAACTGGCAGGATATTCCGTCCTTGTTGGGCCCGTGGAAACTAGCTGCGACTGCCATTGAGCTTCAGTTTGTCCTTCGGCAAATAGGCAGGGCAATGTTGCAGGATGCAACACGTTCATCCGCTAGCGACAGTCTTGATAAATTGGTTTTCGGTATCTTCCGTCATTCGATGACATCCGAGGAGGCCTATTTCGTTGCTGAGATGGCTCGGGGAGTGGATACACCTGTCGCAGGCAAGGTACGATGGAAATCATTCTCTACATGCATAGGATGCTTACTTTTACTTAGTTCATCAACAACGGGCTGCAGTGCGTCTACGAAATGCTGGAGACATTGTCGATGCCTATTGACTGCAAGGTGCTTCTTGACTATCTTGAACGCACCGGCGAACTTCTGCGTGTTTTGGCCCACGTCGCAGAGCCTCTGCGTGACGGGAAGGACCAATTGCCTTCACTGGATCCCCAGATACAGATCCGGTTCATGACCCTTTTACTGGCTAAATTCGAGATCTTGGAGTCCATTTTGTCTTTGGAAGGTGCAGCAGATAATATGGACGTGGATGGCGCCCCGTTACCGATCTCGGATGCAGTCATCCTTTTGACACGATTGCTACAGTTTGACCTGGGTTTCCCTGGCGTGTGGACCAAGGAAACAGAAGTGTGCGGAAACAGTCTTGTTGCTGTCTTATTTCGACTCGTTCTCGTGAGTAGTCATCGACTTTTCATATGTGCAATGTTGATCTTTGTTCCACAGCTCTTCAGCTCCGGGGACAAGCTCGATGTCGTTTTATACCCACTGCTCATCGATACCCTGTATTATCTCATTGATGGTACGCCTTGCGTAACACCCATGCTCTTCATCTAACAAATTTCGTCTCCAGAACTTCCCCAACCATCGAAGGGAGTCGTCTTTGACCCATTTCGCAACTATCCCGACTTTCCATATCCTTGCATTCCTTCCGACGCACCCCCATCATACGTGGGCCCTTTGCGTGCCCTGCTCGCTCATTTCTCGCCTTCTCCGACGGTTGCAAATCTGTCAACCGCGCATCGCGATGCCACGTCTGGTAATCTTGTACTCGGTGTCCCAGTTGTGAACAGACCGTGGGAGTGGATCGAGAACATTGGAGAGCCGATCACTGCCCAAGACCAGGAGGCACATACCCAGCATCCTATCAGGAACGCCTCGTCGCTCTCCCTCGAACTATTCGGCGCCAGAGCGACAGGCGACGGCATTGTCGATGCTCAGCTATACCAGTTCGAGGACGGCTTGAACGCGGAGAGCATGTTCAAACGGGACTGGCGGGAAACCCGCATCGAGCCGGATGGTGCATGGCACGGTGTCGACAGTGCCGGTGCTCATGATAGAGAAGAGGAAGCAGACGAGCTCGGACAGATGCCTACGTTTGCGGGGCAAAGAGGAATGGACTCTCGATCCAAACCAGGGTCGAGGCGTGTTTCTCCTGCATCGTCTGTGCGGTCGCGCGCTTCCGGGTCGGGCGGCACTGGGTCTATGCGACCCAGCCCGAGCCAGAACTCCTCGAGCCGGCCCGCTGCAACGAATTCTACAGTTAGTGAGCCCATGGGAGCGGAGAGCAAGGGGTCTAGCGGCAAACGAAGCGCCGCGAAGCGGAAAGCAGCGATGGACGACAGCGACGACGAGGTAGAAATCGTAGAGGGCCCGATCCCTGCACCTGCAGGACGCTCTTCGAAGAAGGCGAAACCCACTGCTAGCAAGACGATAAAGGCACGCGCGAAAAAGAAATAACTAGGGGTGGTGAAGGTGAGGATCTTTTGACGTGGAATATATGGTTGTTTGTATAGAACTGCAGTTATTGTATCGATATAGTATGTTGTATAGTATATAAACCTCGTCGTGGAACATGTCTGTCATGATTTTCAACCGCTCTGTGCAATGCTTTCCACTTTCACCTGCATCTGACCTTCGACGGAAGTGATGCTCGGAGTTCGGAGAATCAACTAGTTTCGTTTTCGTCTCTGCCTCGGAACGTTTTTACTACGATACGCTTCGCAATTGGTTTTCTTTCTCTCTGCTACCGTTCATTGAGATGGCAATATCCACCCAGACGAGCTCGAAAACGCATCGCCGTCGCGACGGCCGCGCCCCAAACGAATTACGCGCACTTTCGATCGTCTTCGAGCGCCTCGCGCGCGTCGATGGTTCAGCGCGTTTCTCATTCGGTACGCTCATTATACACATCACTTTGCGGTAAAAAAATCTGAAAGAACTAACACAATGCGGTTCTAGGTGATACTGAGTCGCTCGCGTCTCTCTCCGGGCCAATCGAGGTTCGCCTCGCCGCCGAACACCCCGCACACGCAACCCTTGAGATACATGTCCGCCCCTCCTCCCGCACCCCCGCAACCGCATCCAAAGCCCGTGCTGCGGCGCTACGTTCTGCGCTCACGCCTGCGCTGTTTCTCAATAAGTGCCCGAGAACGCTGGTGCAGATCGTAGTACAAGAGGGGGACGGTGCCGGGGGCGAGGCCGGGCTGGTGGCCGCCGGCATAAATGCAGCGACGATGGCGCTGGTGAATGCAGCATCGGTGCCGATGAAGGGCGTCGTCTGCGCCGTGGCTGTTGGGAGACTGCCGTCGGACGCCTCGCCCATACTTGTACTCGATCCGAGTGAAGCCGAGCACCCGCATCTCCTCGGCGGTGGTGTCTTCGCGTTTCTTTTTTCGGCGGCACTGGCTGAGCCCTCGACTCCGGCTCTTCCCCATGGGTCGCCGCCTTCGTCGTCTCTCATCTACACTTCTTATACACCGACGACGGCGTTCGACGCCTCGGAACTCGCCGAGGCACGCGAGATGGCGAGGAGAGGCGCAGAAGATATATGGAGAAGTATGTGGGCGAGCGTTAAATCCTGCGAGGGCGTGGGCCAGACCGACGCGATGGAGACATGACCACGTTACGGTCAGGTGGAATCGACGCGGACGGCGTCTCCGTAGTAAAACCGGCTGCCTCCACGACGACCCTCCCCGCCCTGCCAGTGAACCCTCGCAAAAAGTGGTGGGCGGTGCTGGCTTCAGCTGCACAATTCACGAGGTTGAACGTCAGAAAAGCCTGGCCGAGAGGTGATGATCGTGAAAATGTCGATGCCACCTTTGTCTTTTGGCGCATGACGAGGCGTATACACCATGTCTAACACTTTCTACCCTGTAGCTTACTTGCAAGGACATTTCGATGTATCATGTAGCATGGGGTATCCGTGTACTTTGCATGTTTTGGTGTCCATCGACTATAAGGAGTGCCGCTGAGCGCTGCCAGTGAGCTGGTAGCCGACTCGGAATGGCGTTTATTGGAACTTGGAAAAATGACCTCTTTCCGCTGTTGGAGTGAAAGTAGCCCCACAAAGCGCGACTCGTTTCTCTCGTCATTTTCTTGCGTAGTGTAGACGGATGCTGGCAAAGAGAGAATCCTACTAGCGAGCGATTGAGCTCATCATGCCAGTGATGAGCGTCGCGCCTCGCGAGTCGGCATTCGGAACATTATCCGCAACTGCCTATTTCGGCCAATGTGCTTCTCCTCGTCCGTTCTGCCGCCTGCGTCCTTCCTTCGTCGTTTCCTCGCTCTCTTCGTCAAAAGGATTGCTCTGCATCGCAAAACTTAATTTCGACGGCGGCAGGATTCGAACCTACGCCCTCAAAGAGGAACAGATAATAGTGATTAGTTCTAATCTGTCGCCGTAACCACTTGGCTACGCCGCCTACGGAAATTGGAAGCCCCGCGATCATCTCGACACGCTGGCGCTCCCAGCTCATTTAATAAATCCAGGATGATGTCCATTTTGCAGGGACTTCACTTCCAGCCTTCACGACGATTATATTGACTGCAGAACTGGACGTCGAGGGGACTTTGTAAGCCATTCCAAGTCCTGCTATGCCGGAGTGGCAGACGCGGAAAAAAACATCTCCGCGACAGCTCCGCGAAGCACGACGGCCAACCGGCTTGCTCAACTTTCAACCACGAGACCTCTACTTATACCTCGTGAAACCACGACAGGCAGACACAAAACCATGTTCTCACTCGCGCGGCATTCCTGCAGCCTGCGAGCACCGCTCCGCACCACCCACCGCATCGTCCCCCGCGCCATCCGTCTCATGTCCAGCTCGGCAGAGTACACCAGCATCCTTGTGACGCGCCCGGACCCGGGCGTAGCACTCATCACGCTGAACCGGCCGAAGGCGCTCAATGCGATCACTCAGGCGCTGTACAAAGAGCTCACCACGGCACTCAAAGAAGCTGATAGCGACGACGCCGTCGGGGCCGTCGTGATCACCGGGTCGGAGCGGGCGTTCGCAGGTACGCCATTACCGAGTGCGGGGTAATTGCGGGGAACTCACGGTTGTGCAGCGGGTGCGGACATCAAGGAGATGAAGGACAAGCCCTGTAAGCACGTCGAGTCTGTTCCTTATGCACCCTGCTGAATTGTGGGCAACTAGTCTCGAACGTGTACAAGAACGATTTCATTGGAAATTGGCAGTACGACACGCAGATACGCAAGCCCATCATCGCAGCCGTCAGCGGCTACGCGGTACGCACCGTCTCGCTACGTCGTTTAATGTCGGCTAACGTCGGCACAGCTCGGGGGCGGCTGCGAGCTCGCGCTGAACTGCGACATTGTGCTCGCGTCACCCACGGCCAAGTTCGGGCAGCCTGAGATCAACATCGGCGTCATCCCGGGCGGCGGCGGCACGCAGCGGCTCGCTCGCGCGATCGGCAAGTCGCGCACCATGGAGCTCGTGCTCTCCGGACGCAACTTCTCTGCCGAGGAGGCAGAGCGCTGGGGCATCGTGAGCCGCATCGAAGAGGACGTTGTCGGCGCAGCAGTGGAGCTCGGCAAGAAGATCGCATCCAAGGGGCAGCTCAGCGTGCAGGCAGGGAAGGAGGCCGTCAATGCCGGTGTGTCATGTTTCTTGCGTGGATCTGCGTGCGGGGGCTAACGGAGGGGATGTAGCGTTCGAGTTGAACCTCGCGGAAGGCCTGCGCTTCGAGAGGCGGCTCTTCCACGGTCTGTTTGCTACGAACGACCAAAAGGAAGGCAAGTGACACGTCCTATCTATGCAGTTTTCTTGTGCTGAGCGCTTTCAAAGGCATGAACGCATTTGCCGAAAAGAGGGAGGCCAAGTTCACCCATTCTTGAAGACATTCTCATCGGAAGTTCTATGTACAAGTATGCTCATGGGGGAATTCGAAACACTTGGAATGACGAGACTGTTACATGTTCGCCTGCGACGAATCCGAACTCAGTCCGTCACTGCGTGCTTCAGATTGAAGACCATGCGCCGTGTCGCATGCCGGCTTCCAGAGCCCCCTTCACTTTTACACGTTTTCTTCGCAGGCGTTGAATTTAAGGACCTCGGCCTTCGGAGGAAGCACGTTTTGGCTGACGTGCGTGGGCTCTCGGGCATTGCTTCCTAGCTGAACCCTTAGTAAGTGCCCGCATGTGTTTAAGAGTTCTCTACTTCGGGTCTAATGTTAGGATAGCCACAGGGCCGCAAAGTTAATCCGACTGCCTATTCTTGCACATGTTGAATTAACCGTTGAGCCATGTTACAGCACACAGGCTCCGTCCGAATCACTGGACATGAATCCGAAGTGCGTTCCTCCTCTCGGGTGTGCTTTATTCGAGGTGCCAAGTGCGATTCCGTACGCGAGGGGTCCTTTGCCCTATCGTGTTCATGCGTCCGACGAAGGATCTGTGTTTCTCTTTCTGTTTCTGTTCCTCGCGATCGGTCACCCGGTGTCACTAAAGGTTTGCGGCTTCGTCTAGCAGCCATGCCCCACATATATAGGGCGAGGGTGGAATGGCGTACACTCCAGCGTGAACGACACTGTCGCATACTCTGCCCCCTCTTCTTGGACCCGCGTCAATCGTGCGAGAGAAGTGTTCTCGGCGCCCTCATAGCACGATTCTTAGCTGGCCACAATCACTGACGCCTCTACCATCGCAACACTGGTAAGGTCCTCACCGTCCAGTTCTCATTCCCTTGTAACCCGAGGCGCTAACACTGTAACACGTACGATATAGATAAGTTAACCCCAATGGCCGCCCAATCACCGCGCACCCTTTCCACTGCCGTATATTGTAGGATAAATAGTCACGAAACACAGCGCTCGCAGCACCTCCCGTACGTCCCCCACTTGAAGATTGAAGCGCACAGTGCATCTCCTCATCATTTTTTTATTTTTTCGAAATTCAGCGTCATCTCCGACCGATTCATGGATCCACACGAGTACACGTGCAAACACTGCAGCGTGCCGCTCGTCGAGGTTCCCTCGCCAGCACATACATCACCCGTTCCCGACCTCATTGGAACCAATGGAGTCCCACCACCGTCCAAAGTGCCGGCAATCCGGCGTCTCATCGGCGAAGAAACGAAACGCCTGTCTGTCCTCGAGACGGAGCTTGCTCGGATGCAAGCGATCGTCGATCGTCTTGCGCGAGAACGCAATGAGGCAGAGAAAACCGTGCGGACGCACCGAGACCTCCTCTCACTAGCTCGCGCACTGCCGCCTGAACTGCTCTCCGAGATATTCGTCCACTGTCTCCCGGAGGACACCACACCAAACGTGAGGCGCGCCCCCTTGCTTCTTGGTCGCGTCTGCCGGCGGTGGCGCGCGATATCGCTGTCTACACCGCAGTTATGGTCGTCCATATCGATTACGCTGCACAAGGACACGCCTGCCAGACTTCAAGACTGGACCGCGCGTGCCAGGAGCTTGCCGCTCACCATGGATGTGCGGAAGCTCGGCTACGACGAAGAGCCCAGTCTCGCGGAACTCCTCGCCATGTGCGCGCCGAGGCTGCAAGCCCTGGCAGTGTCCAGTTCTGGCACCAAGGAAAGAGACGTCACAGCGCACGGAGTCCAGTTCCCTCGTCTTCGTAAGCTGGATATAGATATAGGCAACATACCCTCTGGCACAGTGATCAACGTCTTCGAGAACGCCCCGCAGCTGCAGGACGTGACCCTTGCGCTAGCCAGCCGCATCCCCACGCTGGTGCTCCCATGGCACCAGTTGACGCGGATACACGCCAACATGGACTACACGGACGACTTCATGTGCATCATCCGCCAGGCGCCCAATCTCGTGGAGTACACCATGGAGGGCATAGGCGGCGACGCCTTCATGGCGCGGGACTCCATGCCCAGCTTCGTCACCCACCACTCCCTCGAGTCGATCCGCCTCATCGTGAACAACGCGTCCTGCATGGACACCCTCTTCCGCTGCACGGCCATGCCCGCCCTACGCGTCTGCATGATAGAGTTCCCGCTCGCCTCGCACGCAGGGCCCAAATTCCCTGCGTCGACGTTCACGGATTTCCTAAGGCGCTCCGGGAGCCGTCTGCAGGCGCTGCGCTTGCACAACCTCATCATCGACGAGCAAGAGCTCATCGCGTGCGTCGAGCACATGCCGCTGCTGCTGCGGCTCGAGCTGCGTGGGGCGCTGGGGCGCGGGGGTATGTGCGTCGACGGCGCCGTGCTGGCGCGGCTCCGAGGAGACGGGGCCGGTGCGTGTCTACTACCGCAGCTGCAGGAGCTCATGCTCGACCATTCCGGGGCCGTCGACCCGCTGTTCCCCGCCCGGCTCTGCGAGGTGGTCCGCTCGCGGTGGAAGCCCACCGCGCGGGGGACTGTGACGTCCCTCGTGCGGGTGGAGCTCGTTCTGAGGCACTGCGATAATATTCTGGCGGTTGAGGATGGTTTTAGACCGTTTGAGGAGATGAAACGGGAGGGGCTCGATGTCGGCATATTCCTTCAGAGGGGGTTCTGTGACGACCAGCTACACGAGTATCTTTGCTGGGAGCCCAGCGAGGGAAGGCATAAATTTGTGCCTTCGTCGTCGTGACTAGTCAGTGGAGAGGAGGGAACCATTCGAGCGGGATTGCGGGCGTAAAGGATATAACATCGGACACTTTGTATAGTGCGGTGGGAAGGAGACTTGTTCAACCAAGACAATTCGAGGTGTTTGCAATGTTTTCTTCGATACAGTTGTACTTGTACTACATAGTAGGCTATAGTGCTTGAATAATTCATATGCGTGTCCAATGCATTCTGAGGGCTGCTTCGGGGAGGAGGAACTACTAAGGGACGGAATATTTCTGTTCATCCCCGACAGCATGAATTTGCGTTCTCCCTAATCTGTCTGGATTGATCACTCCGACTGGCAGGCCCTTGTGACACAGTTTACCTAGACACGCAATAATATTGTGGGATTCCAAGAGCACATGAAATTGGCAGACTAAGGGAAGGGTGTAGCAGCTTGGAACGGCAAAATGACCAGCTTCTCCTTGTCCCACTGCAAGACAAAATCAATGAGCATCAACCCGGTAATCCCATCGTACAGACGCGAAATGAACTCACCACGCCAGCCGTGTAGTACAGGTCCTCTTCTGCGTACTTGCGCACCTGCGCCAGGCTCTCCGCCTCGCAAATGAACACAGACCCTATGATCTTCCGCTCGGCCGTGGGGCTCTCGATAGACTCGGGGGTCAGCATCGCACCGCCGAGCTCTGCGTCGTGCAATCAACACGCATTAGATACAGCATATGTCATTCCGCGCACAAACGACGCGTTTTGAAGGACGCACTGATGAAGCCCTCTCCGGACAGCCGCCGTGCGAGCGCGAGGTGTTTCTCGCGCACCTCCATGCGGCGCGCGTATGCGCCCTCGTCGGTCGCATCGGGTGCGTAGATCACGAAGCG